ACATTAGCCTATCCAACGCTGCTGGCTAGGCCTAGCCTTACCTCGATTTAGGTTCTGTTATCACACATAAAAACGGCCGACATGATATTTTCCGTTGCTAGTATTGACACTTGTGAAATATAATATTTCATAGGATTTATTTCAAATTTGTTAAAAAACTGATTCTGACTGAGATTTTGACACTTTAAACAAACATATCTCAGCCTTACCGAACGACCGCATTGTGCGAGATGCGAAGTACAAAAAGTAATCTCATTAGAGAGGGCGCTCTTTATTGACTGTATAAAGTATACATAAAAGCGAGAGTATTCCAGTGGATGCGATCTACAACCTCTGAATTTGCCTAGTAACGATGAATTCGTCGAGAAAATGGTAATATTTTATGAGAAATAGTCTGTATTTCTCATTTTTTTTATTCTTTTGCGTAAAACTGAAATTCATGCCAATATTTTTCCATGATTTATAATAATTGGAGTAATGCAAATGCATATTTTCTAAAAAAAAGTCAGTTTTTAGTGAAATTTTGCCGGGAATGGGGCTTTAACAAGGTGTCTTGTGTGGATTTGTAACTGTGTATTATTAGTATTCAGCACGACTGTGTGTCAATAAAAAGGCAGAATATTACAGTTACGTACACCGATTTCGTTAAAAACATACAACAATGGATTTTAACATGGCAACTCTAAAATAATTTATGAGTATACTTGGCATCTGTTTCACAGTAAGTTAAAGTATTTAGTTGTTTTTATTCTGAATCTGAATTTACGCCTACGTTTGCCTCTCTCCACCCAGGAGTATAAATGGCTACCTGGTACGAGGGTATGGCATGAAAGTTGGTTGTGCGTGATCAACATGACTAGGGATAGGCCTACTCCCACAGAAGGCAGAGAAAGTTGCACAGAATGTGCCAACTCGGTATCCAGTGACCAGGAAAATAATTATGCCAGCGCCTTGCGTAATATTCTACGGATTGTAAAAGGCCTAAGTAAAGCCCAATAACAAAAAATGCGACCAACGTCAGTCTTTATTATTATTATTATTATTATTAATATTATTATTATTATTATTATTGTTATTATTTTTTTTTTTTATATAATTATTATTATTATTATCATTATTTTTTATATTTATTATTATTATTATTATTATTATTATTATTGTTATTATTACTACTACTACTATTACGATTACTATTATCAAATTGAACTACAAAAAATATAATTTATAATTAATATAATGTAACTTAAAATACTGCTTTTAAGACCACTGCCTTGGGGTATTCCAATTTCAAGCTTCATTTTTTTTAAATATTTTGTTTCATATTTAACTACTTGCTTCCTTTTACTGAGGTAGTTTTTAAACCAATTGATTTCGTTATTTTTTATTCCATAGTTGTTTAATTTTTCCAACAACAGAGCGTGATCTACGGTATCAAAATATTTTTAGATATCCAAAAAGCAAGTTCATGATCATTTAAAGAGTCAATTCAGTCGTCAATTAACCTGTGTAATCAGGTATATGTTAAGTAGTCTTTTCTAAACGCATATTGGTCAATATTTATCAAATTGTACTTATTTAAATCAGTTAGTTGATTCTATATTACTCTTTCTATTACATTTGACACATGACAAGCTACTGATATTGGTCTATAATTTACATAATTCGTCTTTGTTATCTTTTCCTGTAAACACTGTGGTAGTTCTCGCTATCTTCAATCCTCTGGAATCACTCGAATCATTAAATACATATTATACATCTTAAATCGGATAAAGGTTTTAGATGAGATAATTATTAATTATTGTGTTCATATCAATATGTGTATTCTTTTATATATTCTTAATAAAAACTGAAAACGTAAATCAATATCTAATTTTCGGATTTTAAGTATGTTTAACTTTTAACAGTGGTTCAGAGAAAGGAATATGGAAAGAAAATGTAATAAAACGAACTTTTTTTTTTAAATTAAATTAATTAGTCTACTAAGGTTAAAAGGATAATCCTCTGCCCAAATTATATTACAATACATGAGGTTGTATTAAAGTTTTAAATAAAGAAACATAGTTACCAACCTGAGAGATTTGAAATGCGTGAGTTTTAAGCTGCTTTAAAATGATTTGAAGAAGAGTTTGTTGACAATACCAGGTAAGCCTATATAAGCAAAAATATCTTTAATATAGCCATGTACAAATTGAGTTTTAATGTAAAATGTTTAATTTGAGTACCCCAACTATGTAGACCTATACAAACATTTCATTACAGATCAATTTTTAGTAACGCGTCAGTGAAATTAGTATTCACGTAAATACCGCTGTACATTGTAATGTAATTTTATTTTGTATATTAATAATAAGTTAATTTGAGGTAAACCAATCAGTAATTTCGATTCAGTCAGTATTTACAGTGTTAAATAGTGCATTTACATCAGGGTTTGAATAATATAATGTGGTATGATCAGCAAACGAGACTACATTTAAATAGTTACTTGCATAATAAAGGTCACTTATAAAAAAATAAAAGAGGTCCTAGACCCGATCCCCGTGAAACGCCACAAGTTACATAATTTATTATCATTTTGTAAGAACCTAAGTAACAATTTGCTTCCGAATTTCAAGGTAAGTCTTAAACTAATTTAAAGTAATTCCTCTTATGGCATAATTATGCAGTTTGTAATTAATAATATCAAAAGCCTTAGGTAAGTCAATAAAAACAGATAATATTAAAACGATTTCTTTTTAAAAGAATTAATAATGTTATTGAGTAGATCTAAGATAGCATGAGCAGTAGAATGGTTATGACGAAATTCATATTAATGTGAATAAAGGACGTTGTGTTTTGTTATTAAACAAGAAATTATATAATCTTTGATGCATTATTTTTCAATAATTTTGAGATAGTAATTAATAGATAATTTAAAACTTGATCATTATCATTTTTTTTTTATATAAAAAAGCATTTTACTATTTTTAAAAGATTCAGAAAGTTACCAGAAGTAAATCAGCAGTTTATATAAAATGCCGCTGAGGCGTAGCTAAAGGTGATAACATGCCCCTGTGCAAGATTTAGGGAGAAGTTTCCCGATTCTATATAACTTAAGAATTGGTTTAGCATATGCAGTTAATAATACCCTATTTTTAAAATTACGAATCTCGTGCGCTTTCGTTACGTAGACGCTCACACTAGATTTGTGATGACGTCGTAAGATAATAGGTAGACTCTGGTAGACAAAGAAGATAAAGTAATTATTGAAGATTAAGAAGATCTTTTTAAATGAGCTTTAAACAATTAGCCTGTGATGTATTTTTATAATGGGTTTTTTTTTTTTTTTTTTTTTTTTTTTTTTTTTTTTTTTTTTTTTTTTTTTTTTTTTTTTTTTTTTTTTTTTGTAATGT